CACATTTTATCTCAGCGAGAGAAGACCTCGACGACTACAATTCCAACATGCACAGACAAGACGGCTTAAGAATGGATGCTTGCCTATCATCCTTTTAACGGTCGATGATACGCCTAGTAACATTATGGATACTACCAGATGTGGTTCCCCTGTTAGTGTACACATTACATATGGATATAACTTTTAATATACATATAGAGTTTAGTGTAAAAAACCCTAAATCTTATTATATAGACTATTACCTACATGTATATTAATTATGAACGCTTTATCATCCTTAAGATTATAGAGACAGTTAAGSACCTTGCACAAGTAATATTCAATATATTACATAAGTCAAATTCACATATTTATTAACTTATAGTGCACCTCAACTTTAAGTAGAAAAGGTTTCAGGAAACGGACAAAAAGTATCGAACCATTTGTAAAAGATCACTATTAAAGCATCATTTGAAGTATATATACTAATCTCATTGCTTCAAAGAGAAAAGAAATTAATAGAAAATGTAAAATGAATTAAGTTATAAGAACAGAAGATTGGTGTGAAGATTAGTTTCACACAGTTTCTGCAATGACAACCACGGACTTCATCTATTGATGATCGACTGTTTGGCTATAAATACGCCAGATATTTTTATTTGCGTGCCAGGCATTTTTCGAAAGTCACTGATCAAAGACGATACAAATTTAATCGTATTCTTGTATTTTTGGATATCATCCTTTGTGTTTGGCTCTTCGTACTTGAACACTTGTGAGCTAACTTTCATCAAATGTCGTGCGCTTGCGTACAAAAATGTTAAGAAGTATTTATTTGCTTAATCCTACTTAGTTTTCTGCTTATTTTGTTTCTGAAAATATAAATAGYCTTGGGTTCCTTCTATATCATAACACCTCGAGTGTGACACGATATTTAGAAAGAAAGTGTTTGGATGATTTTCCCACGAGTGTTTTAATAGAAATAAAAAAAAATATATTTTTTATCTTATTTTATTTTCAAATAACACCCACTTTATCAAGTCCTTAGAAATTGTGTTTACTTTAATATATTTTTCCACTATTTCTTTAATTAAGTTACTGCAAAGACATCATTTTGATTGATCATATCTGTTTTTATGATATGAATCTCAAGGAGCGGGATCCACTCTAAGGCGCCTAAATACATATTAATTTGACAAATCTATTTTATTTCTGTCGATGTGAGTATATATTAATTAAGCGCCACAAAACTATAAGGCAAGGAGCAATCAAAGGCGTGAATAAGCTGAGCCGACAGAGACGTAGACATGAATAAGCTTTCCATATTGCTGCTGGTAATCAGCATATTTTTTGAAGGGGACTCAAAAAGCATTTCAAACGATTGTGTTTCAAACTCGACTGGTAAGATGAGTTATATTCTCTTGTTATTCCACTAAGTAGTAAGATACCGAGATTATTCTTGGTTATATGGATAATTATATACCTAAGTATAAATCAGGAGGAGCCGACGGGCTCTGTTCTTCTAAATAACTGTTCTTGTACGATTATTTTCCTGCGAAAGGGATTTTGAGCTACATTGTTGACAATCTCACAAACAGATGTGGCGCCTTTCCTTCTTAAAAATAWTTTTTTTTCCTGACAAACCATTTTATTTTCGGACTTTATCATATGGAAAACTAGTAAATAGTAGCTAAAATAGTGTTATTTGCCTGGAGTACAAGTGGATTCCAAACAAAGGACATTTCGCGTGTTTTGTTTGTATATAACACAGTCTTTCTCAAAGCTAAAGACACATRACATCTTCAAGCAACATTCTTTTGGTTAAAACTGATAATAAATAGTTATTATAGAAATTCATTGATGTTTTTAGGTCCAATTTCAATGGAAGACATTGCTGCTAGCAAAGACCTTTTCATTATATTGTGGCCAGCCGTCGCTGTGGCTGCCGTATTATGCAACCTTCTTGTCATTCACGTTGTCAGGGTCAACCCGCACATGCGCACAACCACCAATTACCTCATTGTCAACATGGCGACTGGCGACTCGATTGCAACAATTGCAAGTTCTTTTGGTACCCTTAACTTCCTTGTAAATGGGAAAGGGAATATAGGGAATACCTTTTATGAAGAATATATCTTATGCAGGGGAGTGTACGCTCTTTATTACGTTTCCATGCTCTGCTCCATATACAGTCTCGTTGTAATCACGTTTGATAGATTCATTGCTGTGACACGCCCTCTTAAGTACAAGTTCCTCTGTTCCTGGACGAAGTATACCATACCCATAATTTGGTTGACATCTTTAGTGATACCAGCTAACTGCGTAATCAAAAGCATTGACTATGATCTAAAAGATGGCTTATATTACTGCAGTTCAAAGACGTCTGTGCCAGATGCTGTCTCCATTTTGACCTTAGGGTTTGTACTTCCCCATGTTGTAATCCTGGTTCTTTATGTGGTAATAGCATACAAGCTCTGGAAAAGGAATGTTCCCGGTGAGCAAGCTCAAGAAACGAAAGGCCAAAGTTCTTCTCAGAGAGTTGCTAAAAAGGTAACCCTCATGATTGTCAGCATCCTTGTCGCCKTTGAAATATCCTGGTGTCCAGTTTTTATCGGCTACATTTTCCCGCACTTGTTAAGTGGTCCTTTTAAGGTAGGAAGTGTGCAAGTGCTCGTTTATAAATTGTTGATGATCTCCAATGGGATTTCCAATGCTTCGATTTATGCTGTTTTCAATGAAAACTTTCGACGAGCTTTTAAGGAAGCCTTGATGAAGATTCCTATGGTTGGAGCTGTTGGAAAGCTTCTCAAAAAAGTTCAACGACCAAACCAGCGCGTAGCACCACTACAGGACGACACGTCAACTACAGAGAATCCCAACTGAGAGGTGCCACAGATGAGAGTACATAATGCTGACAGTAATTTCACGATTATTATTTCAATAGTTTTGTAACTTACGTACAAACTATAGAGTTATCTCAAGCAACAAAAAATACCACAAAAAAGAACATATTTATAATAGAACATATATTATACAAAAGAAATGCCATATGAGGGTTCTCAAAAGATCGATCAATTGTGTCTTTTTCCGGTATATTTGCCGCTTTGAATTGTATATATCTTTATTATTATATGCTTGTAAAAGTATTGGTACCAATAATGCGACATATGATTGACAGAAGAAGAAGAATCTCACAGATCATAGTTACTAGAATAATAAACGTTTGACCATATGTACACTTTCACAGAATACTTTATGCAATAATATTTTGAACAGCGCACAACTCTTCACGCAGCTGGTGGTGCKTCAAATGATTTTTTTCATGTTACATGTTATATATTGTAAGTGAAAAGTTAATTTTGAGGTTTTCAATCAAGTGAATGTCATTTTATTCTTTAAAAATGACGAACGCTGATTCCCATCACAAACTAAATTCTATGTAGTTGCAAACACTGACAATATTGCTGTTATTGAACAAAATATATGAAATAAACATGTCATCTTTACATTCGACAAGCGGTCAAAAGATGATTCCACTGTTTATATGTAGAAGCTAGATGTAGTCCACCTTGTCCAATGGCTTTTGACAAATAGCAATCAATGCGATGGCATGAAGTAACCTCGATTGCCACAATCACCAGGCCATCTGCTATTGCTCATGATCAACATTTCATCATAGGCTGAGTATATCACATTAATATGCGCCCTCGTTATTTGAATGAAAACATGAATTAGACCTAGTCCTCGTAGAGTCAGACTTAYTTAATCAGCGATAAACCAAATCTATTCTTCCCTCCCGTCAAAATTTACTAGCCTGTGTACATCCGTTTCTCACCCCTCCAAAAAAATCGGGGAGAGAACGTCTGTGATTTGCCGTTGCTAATCGTGTTCTGAGGTCCTCAAGATTTGGAGGACGAATTTCATTGGCTGTTGACTTATGAGACTTGTGATTGGCCAAAATCAATAGATGGCGTGTAAAGTTGGTGGCACGAGTGAAATATAAGCCTTCATGGTAAACAACTAGAATGCCTCAAATTAATTGAATATGTTATTTGCTCTCAAATTCTCTGTAAAAGTTTAGGCTTTAATCTTATATTCGGTCAGGGTAAATTTAAAATTGATGTGGAATTATAATGTCATTAGAATTCGCCGCCAATCTTCACGAACAAAACTTGCATTTGTCAGAAGTGCTAAAGAAGAGAAGGGGGCTTCGTAGTTTGTATTCTACATCTCATAATAGCCTGCGAAAGCGCCAGAGTTACAGCTTCAAAACTGCCGAGGACAACGTAATCTTCACAAGAAGATATTAGTACGGTTGATGGAAGTCATTGTATGACGCAAATTACAGGAAAACCACATTCTGACGAGACACCTACTACCGAAGATAGAGAGAGCACGGCATAGACCAATGGGCAGAGACAATAATGTAAACCACGGTCGAAGTTAGAATTGAATGGCTGAAACAAAAACAAAATCTCTTGGCATTATGTTCGAATTATGTTGCGGAACGGTCCACTCCGCAACATAATTAAAGTTAAAACGTGCCTGCTCAAGCTCTAACGTGCATGTCACATTATATATGCAAATTTATGTCAGAACACGATTAGCAACGGCAAATCACAGACGTTCTCTCMCCGATTTTTTTGGAGGGGTGAGAAACGGATGTACACAGGCTAAAATTTACCATCTCTATCAGTATTTTTTTTCAATTCGTGAAAAGTTTTGCCGACATATCACAATGCTGCGTGCCTTTCCTCCGACGGGGGCTGCGTCTTGTCCCATTTTCCCTATTTTGACTCTTATTCCAATAAATGTAAACCTTATAGAACTCATTTATAACACCCCTCCACTCCCACTTATTAGCTTGGCAATGACCAGCTATGGCAAGTAACAATAACTCTTCTCCTCTTTCATATGTATTCCTTTGTACCTCTACCATGGGGTCCTCAATACTATCAATGAATTACAATCAAATCCTTTATATCGGCTAGTACAAGTTGTGTGCA